GAAATTTGTGCTTGTGGAAATCGAAATCCTGGTCTTTTGAATCAGGAAAGCAGCTCAAGCAATCCAGAATTCCACTAACAATTAGAATCCGGAATCCAAGTTCCACTAACAAAGACCTGTACTGGGAATCCGGTATCCACTGCGTTGAATCCAGTAGTCACGACTTTCATGGATTCCCGTAGATGGGGCGATCGTAGGCTAGTTCAGGTACGTATCGTAAAACAGGGGCGAATCTAAGGAGAGCGTGCAGGGGGTGCGCACCTCCCCCTCCTGAGATGACCTGCGGCTTTCTAATACAACTGATATTCTGCCAAAACCTTTGTGGTTTATTGGAGCTGAAGTAAAACATGAGACGAGGGTGAAGAATTTATGTTCTACGCCGTAAAAATGGTAGTTCCCTAGTGGTGCACCCCCCACTGAGAAAAATCCTGGATCCTACCCTTAAACCCTTAAATGTAAAAAGTGCTATGTCTTAAAATTGGTTCAGTTACTCTTTTTCATTTTGATGCAGATGACAACTGAAAGGCTTTGCAGGTCTAGGAATATGTCGGCTGTTATTGTTCAAAATGAAAGCTAACGGACGGATATTGATTACAGTGGAAGTTTTTGGTTAAAGCACTTAGGTTTGAATAAAACAATTACCAATGTTTTGTCAGGAAAGAAGCGAACAAAGGAAACAAATAAAAACACCCTAAATTTTTCAAACTCATTTAGCAGTTAAATGAAATAAACAAAATATTACCCCCGTGTATGAAGAAGAGGCCAAAGCTGCGTAAGCCTGGTCAGAAATATATCGTAACGCAATTCCCATATAACGAACTAACACTTATGACAAAGAGTTTTTTTTTTGGAATTGACAGACCATACGTTTTCTCATATCGTAGTAAAATATATAATGGAATTACCCGTGTCTATAATGACGAAGGTGTAAAAGTGTTAAAATATTTGTTAACCTATAGAAATTCTAAACTAAGAAGAGTACGATTTCCATATCTTGGGATCCGCTACTTTTATTCTATTTTCACACACCGGCTTTCACATGCTATGGAAAAAATGGAACTCTTTTTTTTTTTTTTTAACTTTTACTGCAGTTAGTAAAACCTGTAGAAAATTGAACCATCTCTGTTGATTGGAAGCTTTTTTTTGATCATGCAACCTTAACTAAGGAATAAATGCTTATTTCCCATAATGTCAACAGCATAAATAGCATGCATATAATGCTAGATTTAAGTCATGTGAAAAGGTCTTAAATAAAACCTGTACACGGTTTTACAAATATCCTATAGATATCTTGAGTTGTGTTGACATTCTTATGATTTCTCTTTCTCAGACTTAGCTAAAGGCTTTTTACTTCAAAACACCGTGGTACGTAAATCCTCTTCCCAAGAGAGAATGGTCTTACTTATTTAATGAATAATTAAGGATCTAGGTTGAAGTTGTTTTTAGCTTAAGTAATTTTCTTCTGATGGAAAAGGACTAATTGCTCCAACAGAGTCTCAGTATGAAGAGGGTTAAACGTCATTTGAAAAAGACTCAATATAATGTAATTGAACTTAAAAAAATCCGACTCAGCATGCTCTCAAAGACAATTTACTTCTTAATTGAAAGATGTTTACTCGAAAGCTTATAGCGTCCAGCCAAAACAGAACCACTGCGTTAAGGAGTTTACCTCGTTTCTTTAATTATAAGTATTGCATGTACTGTGAAACAATGCGGTCATTAAAAAGGAACGAGAGTGTTTCACTGGAAGAAGACTGGTGTGACTATATGCGCCTTTAATATCAGGAAAACATAATAAGGAAAATGCTTAGATGTGGAACACTTTAATATAAAGAAAAACAGCTCTTTAATTTAAGGAAAATGACAACTATTTGAAATAAGGAAAAGTAAGTCTTGGTTTAAATGATTGTTAAGGTTCATAGTGTAGTTGTAAATTCGAAGTTGCTCTGAAGCAGTAGAATTATCTGTGCATAGCCTCGTATAATCGGAGAAACTTCGACATCTGGAATTTACTTATATTTGTAAAATGGCAATTAAAGGTAGCCCCTGTTGACTGGATTGTTTATTGTGTTCAAGTAATTTATCCTGCAGAAATGAATACGAGTTTTAATGCATGATTCTATTCTTAATTTTATGGCCTTTAAAGTTTGTGGCTCATAAACTAATTTTGTAAAAAGGGTGTATAGCAAAGTTTGGTTAAACGTATTTTGCTTATCTAGCATGCCAATGAGCGCAGCTTTTCACCGAATCTTATTATAGAAACTTTGATTCAGACAAAGGGGTGGGTCGAAACTCCATTTTTCTACCATAACACCAAGAAGTTAGAAGTTTTACAAAATATAGCACCATGCTTATTTAGACAATTAAGGGTCATTCAAATCCGGAAAAACATTGACAGCTCGTGTAACTATAATATTGTCTTTAAAATAACGCACAAGACTGACACGGTTTCTTTAAAGCAACGACATCATGTGCAGACGTCAAATAGATCTTCAGTCGAATCTAAACTTGAGTAAACACTACTTAAATAATTACAGCTCCCTTTGGTGTATTTATGTCAGTGGAGGAATTTTCAGAGAGCTATTTTCATAATTTGTCAGATCGGTAAATATCCAATCGGTTAAATTTCACGTTGATTATGATTGTTAATATTGATTCTCGTATTGTTATGCTGAAAATGATAATTTCTGCCCACGAATTTAAAAAAATGGTCGTAAGCAGCTCTTTAGTCGGCGTTTATAAGATTCTATAATTCGAGAACGTTTTAAGAAAGCAACGAGAGGTGGTCGCTAGTACCAATGCAAACGTTCATTAGAAGTGAGCTTCGACGATTGCTTAGGTTGTTACAGCATCTAGTATTCAGGTTGAATATAAGCAATTTATGATAAACTTTACATACGATAGCTTTACCTGGAAGTAAATAACTTTTACATCTAAAATATCGATAGCAAAGTTCTTGTCTGAACGATATTGCTACCTGATCTAAGGTAGTGTTGTCTCAAGCGAATGCCATTTTTCTCTGAGATGATCTGTTGTTGATGATGATCAATGTACCTTGTTAAACTACTGCATGAAATAGATTTATCATACATTTCTATTTCTTGACACTTAAATTATAAAGAAGTGGTTGAAATTATCGCAACTTATATTGTTTCAGGACAGTTTTGAAGAGGATTTTTCATTCTTTTATTCTCTAAAACAGAGGCCACATACTTAGACGACCTCGGCTGACAAAGAATCTTATAAACCTGTCGTCTCAAAAAACAAAAAAACAAACAAACAAAAAAAAGAAATACCATACTTGTTGGTGGTTTGTTTCTCCTGATCTCTCCTTCATCCTTAGTTCAAGCTAAGGTTTGGGTTTAATTCTAAGAGTTCCAATTTCCTCCTAAGGAAAAGAGACCTCTTTATCAGGGTAATATAGAATAAAATACACGGCTTAACCTTTACGTTTCAAGTTCTAAACATAACATTTTTTGTCAATTTAGAAAACACAGCAATCCGGCCTGACTACCTGATACTCGATACAAATGAGGAAAGAAAAATTTAATTGACCTCCCTGAAGTTCATATCTGAAAACTGCACCCGTAGGTCAATTATTAAAAGCAGAAATTCAAACAATTTCCTCGTAAAGTATTTAAATTGATCGGAATTAAGCCGTATATCAAGGTGAAAAAAAAATGATGAAATAAAAAGAAACAAGCAAAGACAGACACCTGAGTTGTCCTATTTCATCAGAGATGGGGTGGGAGAGAAAAGTTGGAAATGTATCAGCTACTTCGTTTAACAAAAACTGAATAGTTAATAACAGATTAGAATGGGTTCTTCAATAAATCTTGTTAGTCCTTCACTCACCGGCATGGTAGTTCTCCGTGCAGTTTGAAGAACCCCTAAGTGCAGACAATTTATTGGAAATTTTGGTCGATATTACTTTTGTGTTCAGCAAAACTCTAAAACTTGCATCTTTTAACGCATAGGATTCCATAAACCAAAGTGTTATGTTAAGTTATTATTTTTTACTACGAGGGGTTAAACTGATTATTGCTAAAAAGTATTCACATGTTTTTTTTTCCAAAGAACTGTGTGGAAAAATAATTTGAAGCGGTCATTGGAACTTTAGTGCTCTATTTTGATTTCTTAGAACAGAATACTAAGCGTCACGTCACTATTTAGGGTTTCAGACATTTTGCATATTTTTTAAAAATATATATCGAGCTACAGTGAACGGGTCTGATGTTTCAAATTATTCACAAGTATGTGTGAACATATCCTTCTCCAGAGTATCCTTTTTGAGTTGTCGACATTGGCGATTGAAACGGACACGCGAAGTGCTTCAGTTTCTTTGTAAGTTTCTCAATTCGAGTTTTCTTTAAATGTAAATTTGTAAAATTTGGTCTAGTGTGAGCAATTTAATTTGTTTGCCTTTTCTGCAGCTCTATTGGCCTTTGCAAACTGTTTATAGTTGACAACACTTGACTATAATTATGGCTTGGTAACCTATTTCCATATTAGGCCGACAGGTGATTAGCAGGCAGGTGGTACCGCATATAACTTAAATAGATTTTGTGCAGAACTCCAGAAACCATTCACAAAGTTTGTCTTGAAATTTAGCCTGGTTTTAGCTCTTTACTCATATCGTTTGCGTTAAGCCCGAGTAGATGCGCTCCCTTCCCAAAGAGTTAATTGCGGTTTAGTGCGTAAAAGGAACCACCAACTGTAAAAAGTTTATCGGCTAACACTAATTCGAATGAAATGCGACTCAACGTACTAAGAGCACTTCACGTCACCTGACAGCACAGCCTACTAAAGGGGCATTAAAATTAATGAAAATCGCTATAAACTTCGCGTTCCCGGACTGGCAGGTTAATTTGAGTAACAATGATATCAACAACTCGCAAAAACTCGGCCATGGAAATCTTGTAATCGAATTATAACTTGGCAGCGAAGAATACTTTGCATCAAGGAGACAGCACAACGGTCTATCATTCACTCTACGCGGTATGCGAATTTTCAGTCACTTTGCGGCTTTCGCGAAGGTAAGTGCATGAATGATGTCCGATTTAAATGCAAACTTATACTGTATACCTAATCTGTTCAAATCTCCTTGCTTTTATCCTTCTTAGATCAGCCTAGTGATCCTGGTGCTAAAGCTGACCATTACGGTTAACAATGGCGGTAAGTCCAGTTTATGTTATTCATACTCGTTATCCCCTCCAAGCGATACGGGTTGTTTGTGGTTGTAGAAGCGATGGGGAAATATGCCGTTTGTCCGCTTTTCCATTCTCCCACAGTCAGGTGATATGCTGTTAGTTCTGGATATTCTCTGGTTTCTCCCTGACTTTGATGAATGGAGTCGATAAAAAAATGAATGAAAGGGAAATCGCTGTCTTGTGGTAAGACTTACCACCTCGAAAATCACTATGTTCCATTAAGCAATTATAAAACCAGCGCTTTTCCATTGTAAGTTATTAGTGTTAAGGTAGTGATGGTACACGAATAAAATTATAAAAAAGTCAAGAATAGCAGAAACAAAGAAATAACAAAAAAAGTTTTCGAAGGCGTTTGCGATGCCCAAAAATTTACTTCAATTCTTTGATTTACTTTCCGTCCCTGACCACAAATGCTAACTTGTGGCAACAGAATTCCTCATTACCTGAATTCCTCAGCATCGTTAAGGAAATTCTAAATTTTAATGCAAGGAAATGTCTCGACAGTCTTCTTTTTGAATGAATGGTAGTTAAATTTTTAATTTTCGTATTGTCCGCAGTTTTTGAAATTTTTGCAAAGAAAAGGCACGCGGTTGTACAACTAAGCCAAAAACACCTATTGGTAAAACAGCATCACTGCGGTTCGATTTCCACAGCATAAATACAAACAAACGTTTGCATTGCAAAATAAGAATCATGAGGCGATGTAACAATTATAGTTTCTTCTGGACTCAAATTGTTTCGAAGAAATTGGAACCCCTGGACGAGCATTTCCAAACGGGGTGCACGTTACTTTATTACAAAATAGAAGAATAAAAGAAAACCAAAATTGAATATCTTAAGTTTCTATCGCAGTGGTGCGCATGTTATTACAGATAATTGGCTATCGTTGTGCTGTTTTCATTAACACTTACAATTGCCTCGCTTTTGGGGAGTTTCCTTGACAAGAAACTGAAATAATTAAGTAGCATTTGTAAACAGGATTATGTGTCGGCTCAGGAATTGACAAAGCAGTACGACTTGTCACATATCTGTTAATTATAACTAATTAAAAAACTTTCTTTCTTTTACTATACCCCTGTTGTAAGGTCATTTTTCTTGGGAATAATTTTATCTACCTTAGGCAAAAAGTATACCTTATCCTCGCTTTATGAGATTGCGACAAAACTGCCAAGATTGGTTGTGATAACTAACGAAAAAGAAAACATTATTTATTATTAAGACATATACATTTTCTAAATAAGTATTGTTGGAAAGGGATTTGTCTTTTTTATCTGTCATATGAAAACTTAAGATATATTGCTGAAGCTTGTTTTAATAACTCAACTCAATCTGAATCTTGAAAATCTCAGTAGGAGTAAAGTTGAGATGATATTGACGCAACATTCTCCCACTCAACCCCTCACAGCCTACAACAGTAAAAAGGATTTGTCATCATTTATTTTTCATGGTAAAGTATTGCAAACCTTGACCTACAAGTAAAATTTTTAGGTTGCTAGAATACCCAATAAGCTTTATAAATTATGAATGACGGTCTAGAGTCTTCCTGTTCTCGAAGTCTCCGAGCAAAGATCATGTAAAAAAGCAATCTAATTGCCATGTCGGTAGTCGATTGTAGCAAACTAATTACTTCGATAACGTATAGTGTGTTCTAAAACATGATGAATGAATGCCTAGGGGTTAGAAACACAAATAAGGGCAAAAGAAAATGATAAAATTTTGAAAAAAAAAACGACAGGGATAACATGTCAGAACCGTCTTTATTGATGAGTCCTATTCAAGAAATGTGTTAAGTTTGTTTATATAGTTCTTGCTTTGGGCCATCTTCTACTTTCGCGATCGTAATCGTCGGAAAATACCTCACAAGACAGATTGAATTCACCTCCCAAAAAGCTTCAATTGTTGCTCAAATGCTCAATTGCCTTTTTAGATCGTTTTTGTTTGCTGCCACAAGCAATTCTGAGTAAAATGCTTGGATGTTTTCGATAACATGATTAGTGAGAAGGTGAAAAAATTGTCTTCTTTTCGTTTCTCTTGAATATAATTATTGCATAGCACTTCCTTTTAGCTGCGATATAAAAGATAAAATGTGCTCAGAAGAGGGAACAAGAAAAGGTTCTGTTAGAGACCTGTACCTCTCTTGAGCTTCCGCCTGCCTGGGTGGGGGATACTAATTTATATGAAGTGTATGTGTGTGAAAAACTAAAGGATATGTGAACAACGCAAAGTAAGCACTGAAGCACACGTACCAAGTCCGTGGTATGGCCAATACCATTCTGGTTTAAAACTGGGTTTTTGGAAAAAAATGATTGATAAGGTTGTAAGGTTGCCAGAGGTACCTTTCGCCGGTAAAATCCAATTAGGGTGTTGCTGGTGCCAGTCGTATAAACATAAACGTCGGATATAATTGCTAAATTTTGATATTCAGCCCAGTCATTATTTCTACGCCAGATGTTAGCATTAAAGAATTTATATCTGACGCTAGGCTTCATGGGTCCCGCTTAACATTAGCTAAAACCAAGAGAGAATAAGCTCATTCTCTCACTAAAGCTAAGAGGAAGTCTTTAAAAAGTCGGTTTTACCTAATTCTGTTGAATAGAATAAATACTTGCCATTGAAATCAACAGTAATGAGGTATCATGTTAATGGTCCACAAATTTTTACATATCATGCTGCCTTCAATGACTCTTCAAGTAAAAAAGTTCAGAGATTTTTCCGGGATGTCAATTAAACGGACGATTTCCTGGACACATTCTACCATACTGTTTCATGTGCCATTTTCTTTCAGAGGTACGGGTGATAAATCCAGAACGTGTACAAACAAAAGTGGCGTGCCAAGGAGAAACAGCCACGCTCAAGTGTAAAAACTCCTCCCAAGCAATGTTGATCTACTCCGCATTCTACGGACGTGAAGAGAAAGGGCGAACGCTGTGTCCTTTTATCAAAAGCAATGTTGATCAGTCAGTGTTTGATGCTAAAGATACCAACGACACCTCCACTTGTCCCGAGAAGAATGTGACATTAGAGATAATGAAATTATGTCACACGAGAAAGCTTTGTGAGATGACTCCGAATCAGAATCTATTTGGAAATCATTGTAAGGGGACTTACAAGATTCTTAAGATTATATATGCCTGTGGTGAGTATTATTCTCTGCCACGACACCTTGGTCCAGTTTTAGCCCGTTCACTTGGAATCTTGTGATCTTTCCTGTCACGATTATTTTTTAATGTTTTACCCTCTGTCTGTTGGTACTCGGGTGCCCAAGGTTGGACCCACACGTAGCCAACGTCCCTTATTATTATCTCATGATAAATAGGTTCAGTTAATGCTCTTAACTCATAACCCCTTAGATAAGCAAGTAACTAGACCAGAATTATTGTGGGGAAAAGGGGTAAGGGATGAAGTATTCCAAATATGGACAGCAGGTCACTTTTCTCTACATATTGGTGTAACAGTCCGAAATCTACAAGGGGAGAGGTGACAATCCTCTCTAGGGGGTGATAATCCCCCGTTATTGTGAGAGAGGATAATCCTCTGTAGGTTGTGATAATCCCCCATGTTAGTGAGAGGTGATAATCCTCTCTAGGGGGTGATAATCCCCCAGGATAGTGAGAGGTGATAATCTTCTCTGGGGGTTGATAATCCCCAAGTTTGTGAGTGGAGGTGATAGTCCCCCTTGGGTACTGGAGAGGTGGAAAGACCTCTGTAGATGTCTAATTCCCCGGTTTAAGGGGTAACAAGAGTCTATGGGGCAAAGTGTGACCTGTATAGGAGCACTTCATCCCGAACCCATGTTTATTAATTGCCAACAACTCTCAATACAGATATCATCACTAATTTAAGTTAGAATTGTGTGCCTGCTGCCCGTCGGGAAAAACCCTCAATTATTTTTGAGGGAAACCTGAACCCTCCCGAAAGCAGAGCCAGACACTTAACATGAACCTCGAGGGAGAGGGGTTAGACGAAAATATATTAATACAAGTTGTAAGTACATGATGACAATTAAACTTTTATCAACTTAATAATCAAAATAAGGCCCAGGATGCCTGGTAGAATGATTCCCCTCAGTAGAAACCTCAACTCTTTTCTGCCATATCTTCCTGACAATTACCAACTGAGTCAAAGTGTAAACAACAAAGATCAGTAGTTCTTATGACTGCAAAAAGTATAAGGAGCTTCTTAAATTTTAAGCAAGAGAAAAGACCTCATATATAAAACCGTAAGAAAACCAGCAGAGAGAATCAAACAGTGATAAGGGAGGGTGGGAAGGGATTTTATTCCACGAAGAGAAGAATATGAAGTGTTATTTTGCTGAGCTAGGCGCGAAAATATAGGCATCAACTGTTCATGTGATAGCTGGCATCTAATTGGCTGAGCGAAACAATTAGTGTGACAGGGGTCGCATGCGGGAAGTAACCCCTGAAAGGAAGTGCGCTGGTTCCATTACTGGTAAAGGCGGGTTTATGGTTATCACATTAACTTTAATTTATCCTGTTGTATAAATTAGCTTTAAAAGAGTATCGTGTGGTTAAAGTTGATACTATGGTTTAGGCGTTTATTGTATTCTTTATTCGCAAAACCCTATTCCAGCAACTGGGCTCTGTAACTAATGGTGGTTGCAGTTGGAGGAAACACATTATGAGTGGGTGGTATGAAAGCATTCTGAAGACCCTCTACTGCGCTTGATATTCAAGATAGATGAATAAGTGGTAGTTCTAACTGCTCACTTGGCTTGCACTAAGACTTGCACCAAAGGGCTTAATAATATCTTTGCTTCTTAACCAAAAACCTGTATATCTCTACTTTCTTTTTCTTCTTTAGAGGATAAGAGCATATTTAACACGAATCCTACTAGCTACAGCACTAACTCACCAACACATGCCACGTATATCAAACCTAAAACAACCAGAAGAACAACTTTGACAAATCGCAAAAGAACTCGCACCGGAAACTCAACTCATAGGAAACGAAAAACAACCACAACTAAGGCACCCGGGGTAACTAAGCCTAGGCACACAACTGCACCATTAACCCCTAGAGGGTCGTCTTCATCCTCTAGTAACGAAAAACCAACAACAGTTCCAGCTAGTAACACTGTTAAACCAGGCCCAACCGTATTTTCGTCTGGACTAAGTAAGCCCGTAACCATTCCCGTTATGCTGACAAACGTACCGGTAGTTGCAACAAAACGAAACAAAAACATTAAGACTTCAACCACGTCCACAGGTTTACGGATCACGATACAAGTGAACGGGACCAACTACACATTAAACCCTACAATAGTACCCAGCACTACTAAAAAAGTTGTTTTACCAACGAATGAGAAAGAACAACCGACAAATGGAACAGAGAAGCCAATAACTGGCGACCAACTCCACCCCAGAAGAGTTTCCAGTGCGACAGCAGCGGTCATGGAGCAGCAAAGTCAGTCAGTGGCTGCAATGGGTGTGGCAGGATCACTTTACCTTTGGTTTCTTCATATGAAAGGTACTTCCTTTATTAGCATTTGTTTTACATTAATCTCTCCTGTTATGGTTAATTCAGTTAATTGTTAAGTAATATGACAATACTGTTTAATCCCATAATAGGAAACCTTCATTACCTCAAGCCGCTAAAGAGAGACTAAAACACATTGGAATTTTTGGAAAGTTTATGACTAAATTTTCATAAGGGCACTTAGGCCCCTCTGTAAAATTCAAGTTCGGTTTTTAGGAAGGTCTTAAGTAAAACTTAAACAAAAGCAAATTGTACAAAAAGATGAAAAGGCGACTTTTGGAGAATATTCAAACTACTTTTTGGAGTATGTCGGGTATAAGTGCGAGAAGAGTTTAAAATCTTGTTTCAGTGACGCAGACGCCAGATGAGATATAATAATAATAATAATAATGCTCTTGCAGGTGCCATCACTAAATATTAAAATGAAATATCATAATAATCCATTAGAACTTGTTAAAACTACTATAAAATTAGAAAAAATGAAAAAGAGCATGGTTAAAATGGATAGGTTTTCAGCTGGGGTCAAAAGCAACCAAGAATTTGCTCGCCTCTGATGGTGGATGTAAGGCAATTCCACATTTTTAAGACACAAATACCCTATCTCATTTACATTCTAGAATTCATTTCAAGTAAACTTTTTTGCACATAAGATTATCATACGCTCAACTAAAGTAATTTATTATTTTTAAAACTTATTGGTTGTTGTCCTCCATTTTTTCGAACTTTTGTTTGTACGGTTAATATCCTGTAGAGAACAAGTCCACCTATGTGACGGTGTTTATTCTGAGCGCTCTCGGGGCGGCCCTTATCATGGTTGGAGTTGTGGCTTGCTTTGTAACTCTCCAGAAAAAGAAAGATTTCCTGAAGCTTGACATCATGCACAAGCCGAGGAGATTCATTTCATTACCGAAAGACGGCAAGACGACGAATCAAAACGGAAGCGTTCCCAAAAAAGAAGCTAGAGAACCAACTGAAGAGAACGCGACCGATGGAACGTTGACTTACAAAGGCCCAGAGGTAGTGTTTTCAGCTCAAGACGTCAGTAATCAAGTGAAAAAAGAGTTTAACATTGACAGGTGAGGCATTTAGTCTCGTATGGAACTGCGAATGCATAAATTTATTCGGGTTTGAATTTTCAATTGCGTTTTTACTTGTTGTAAATGAAATCGAAAGGGCCACAACGGACAATGTAGTGAATCAATTAATGTGGAATCTTGCAAGAAATGCCGGTTGAAATAGACTTGAAGAGTAAACTTCCATGAGTGTTTTTGGATTCCGTGGTTTTCATTTATGTAAAATTGGTAACATTTTCATATCCACTGGGAAACATTTCAAGACCGATTCATTGCTTGTTCACTCAACGTTCATTGCTTTTATGTAATTGATGAGTACATCAGTTGATATCATTGTCCGTTCATGGCACACCGCTTTAATCTCAATGAGTCTTTCTGTTTTTCAAATGGATAGAGCGCTCGCTTTTTGCTCAGAAGGTCGCCGGTACGAATCCTGTGGAGAGATCAAGATCCCACATCTTTTAGACTGTGATTTCCATTCCAACTAAAAACTTTTCAAGTTCACGACTCTTTATCTTTTCCTTGCACAGTCTCGAAAAGAAATTTCCAACGTTGTACACTCTCGTGAGTGAAAGTCTATCCTACCTTTTTAAATGAAAAGTTAAAAGACTTGTAAAACAGTTTACAAATCCAGAAGACCCTTTTACTTTTGTGCAATTGACAATGTCTTCAAAAAGCGTTCTTGCACCATCATGTGGTTGCAATGTTTCCTCTCATTAAGGTCAGGGAGATGTTTATAAATAAATCATATCGCTTACTTTAGCATTATTGATAGATACGGCAGTTCGTAATTTCCAGTTTCCTTTTAAATAGATACTCTGGTATGGAAAATGGAGCAGTGAACAAAAATGAAGAGGGAAGTATTCATGTGAACCCAGTATTTGATACTGTGAATAATAACAAACCAGCGAATGGAATTATCAAACAAAAGCAAAGCGCTATGGATGAATATGATATGGTTTCCAGCCTTCCATCAACTCCCGTTCGTGTCCGTACCCTAAGCGAACCCAAATGTGGTACGGCGAGAAGAGCCAGAGCAAACAGTACCGGTAACGTATCACGAAACCAAGATAGAAATCCCAGCCATGAGGCGACGTACTTTTCCGCCGAGAAGGTTCGACTTCCTCGACATTTAAGTGCGGGAAATGTGTCTCATCAAATTCGTCATGCAGGATCACAAAACCAATCGCCGTCCAAGACCCTGCCACGACAGAGGTCCGCAACTACAAATGATGCATACTGCCAGTCTCCATTGCGAAATCCAATTCAGATGGATATTGGAGGTGACACAATATCCTCTGGCGGAGCCCCTTACCTAATGGGTTCTACCCATACATCACAACTACAGGCTCCATCCAGATCACTTCCAAATGGTGCAGTGACTAATCAGTCTTCTCTCACAAGTGGAAATTTAAACAACCGGCAGCAAACCAAGGGCAAAGTATCACCAAACCTGCCTTCCAAATGTCCACACCAGTATTCAGCTGGTCACGCAGTGAAAAAAGTTGGACCTGCTGTGGTAATTGGAAGGGATGGAGAACCAAACTACCTTGGAAGTCCTAATTCGGCTACTTCTGCAGAGGCACCGAACACAGGGAGAGGAACAAATAAGCTGTTGCCAAATACGCGAACGAGCCCCTCTGCAATGATGCTGTCTAATACATTAAATGTGCCATTAGTAAAGGAGTCAAATCTCGGGACACCAACACCTTATTCAAGTCAACGAGATACAGGAAAATCAAGCAGAAGATGGACCGAAGTAATTTCATCCAATGGAACTGTTCCAAATATAACTTCGAATCCGAATTTTAGCGACATGTCTGAAGATGTCTGGAAGAAGAATAACGATGCAAGGGTTGGCAACTTTGGTTTGGATAACAGTGGCATTCTTCGGCACAAAACAATCCTTTCTGAAACGCAGGAGCAAGATACTAGTAAAGGTACGCTGCGTGCTCCTAGCACAGGAGAACTGCTTTCTCCTTTGGATGCTTTGCCAGATGGACACGCAAACGAATCCAGCTTGCGTTCATCTGACCAGCATTCTTACAATGCCAATTCAGGAACCTCACTTTTCAGCACCTCCTCGCCTCCACCCCCGGAACAGGCAACTGACAGTTCAGATGACGATCTTTATAGTATTGTAGCAAAAGGTACCTATTCTTCTGCGGTACCTGATCCTCATTTAAGACACACTGTTGGGGGAAAGTCAGACAGGAAAGAACAAAAAAACAGAAATAAGCACGTATATGTGGTGGTACCTTCAAGGGATGGTTCCACTGCTGTATAGTGGCAGCCTTGATCAAGTGAAAAGTACACTTGTCATATATAGACTGACATAAAAATACAATTAGAGTTACCAACGGATAAGTCGAGCATAACATGAAGTTAACGGCAGACCGACAAACACCAGCAAGAAGTCTAGTGAACTCAGTCTGGTGCGAGCCAACAACAAAAATTGTGAAGTCATCCAAAAAGTGTTACATTCAGTTCAACGTCTATCGGATTTTAGTAATCCTTGATGAAAGTCTTAAATGAGTTTCTTGGCAGTGATTTCGGAAAGTTGTTTCAATGTCTCTGGGGTGGAGGAGCACTTCTTTTTTCTTTGCCGCCACTTACTTTGCACGTAGATTGAGAGAAGTTTGTTATCTTTTTTATGCGTCACAGCATATCGAAAGGGCGCGTAAGCGGAGCCGGCGCCGAAACCGAAGCGAAGAACAAATAAGTCTTTTTTCTCTCTCCGCCTTCTCTTTCCTCCATTTTTACTACAAGTTGCACCATTTTTGCTTTTTTGACTCGCCGCTCGTGGCTCTGAGCAAAGAAAGACGACCACTCGCGGTGTACTTTGCACTCTATTTCTCCTTTTTACTTTTCTCTCCTTCTTTTGGACTGATACACTAAATGACTTTTCTTCATTGACTGTTTTTTCTTTACTTTACTTACCTCAGCGGTAGATACCAGTGGAGATAATTTTGATGATCATCCAAAGAATGCCCCAGAAAGTACTTTCATCGAAAAGATTTTAGGGCTGCCACGATCTTTGTTTGGAAAATAGGACGGGGAACTGTGGACGACAGATATAACAAGTTTGTAATCCCTTATAAACGGTATAACTGCTCTGCTATATAAAAAAGACATAATCCTTCATAACAAGTAACCAAGACTGAAGCATAAAACAGAGACAAAATTTCTCAAAGAAAGTATCCTAATGCTAACGAACAATGGAACAGGAAAGTCAAAGGCCAGGCTGTGACAAAATGCATAGGAAAAAGAGAACGTAAACTTACTAAAAATGTAAAAATTGACCAGAAGGTGGCCGCACTGGACTGAGTCCAACATTGTAGGAGTTTGTCGATGTTATGCCCGCGTCGATGTAGTCTAAAAGGAATCATGTTAGTTAGTCATTTAAAGACAATCGATTGCCGTCAGCTACACTTTGATGCGTGATTAATATGAGTTTGCTAACCTAAATTGACTTTAAAGAATGTGATCTTATCAGGGATCAACGACGTCCTAAAAGATTGTAACAGAATGGGGTACTTGGAGCCTCACGGTTCCTACTCTTAAAATTGCTAAAATCATTGGTTAACATATCAATAATAAATGCAGTTTGTTAATGAAACGTATTAGTTGAGTCATACAACCTCATTGATTTAAAACTGCTAGATAGTTCAAATATCTTAATTTAATGAGTAAAGATCATTCTATTTTGGTTGATCAAAATCTGCTGTTTTTTCCAAAAAAAGTTTAACGTTAACTTGTTTCCAAGGGACTTGCCAAAAAACTAACTTAGTTTTTTCGCAAGTCCCTTGAAAACAAGTTAACAATCTATTTTTTAAGCTGCTTTAGACCCCTCATGTCTTCTTTGCAATTACATTTGTAACTATGTTAGTCTTGTGGATCCTTCCGTGGCCGAAGTAATAAGCTAAGAGAACTTCGAGCTGGTTCTTAACAATAAAGGAGGGACCAGATTGCCATTGTCTTTGGTGAACTGGAAACTAGCCATTCTAATACCGGAAATAACAATTAACATATTTCTCTCTGGCTCATGAGTTAAGACTGTAGGCTACTGCCAGGACAGTATAGAGACCAAAAAATTCTAACTCGAAGTTCTTTACCACTAAAGTTTACATATTCTATCAAGATCTAGCTTCACTAGAATTTCACGTTGGCCTACTTAATCATCAAAAACAAAGTTAATATGGCATTGTTTTAAGAGTAACCTTGTAAGACCTTTGCAATTTGTAAACAAAACTGAAACTAAAGGATTCTGCAGAGTAAGGAAACTCCCAACATAAACTGCAGCACCGTTGTTTTTATCTTTGATGTTTTCGGCCTTTCATAATCTTCTCTACAAACTATCAGAACTACGATCCGAGTAACCTGAAAATGCGTTGCTGTTTTGCAAGAGGGGACTAATGTCCTAGACCTTTCCTAGGAGAAAATTTGCTTTGAAGGAAACATTTCGCTTTTGCCGGCGCCAAATTCGCTCCAAAAGTCAAAAAGTGAACACACAAGCACGTCAAGGAGAAATGACTACCAGATTAATAATGGTAATTGAACTGAGTGGAGTGCAATTTGGTCTGAAATCATACGCGTGATTTCAAAATTGAACGAGCGCGCAGCGCGAGTTCGATTTGAAATCACAAGTATGATTTCAGACCAAAATTGCAGGACACGAAGTTCAATTACCACTTTATTACATCCATTTTGAAATCGCAAAATTTAGTCAGTACTAATATTTTATTGATCAAGTAGCCGGTTTGTTAAAAAGCCGAAACAAAAAGGCTTTTACATCTCATTTTGTCTTCGAAACAGAAATGATGCGATATAGAACAAAAATGGTGCGATTTAAAACAGAAATGATGCGATTTAGAACATGAATGACGCGATTTGGAACAGATGCGATTTAGAGCAAAAAATGGGGCGATTTAGGAATAAATCACACTGCTGAGAGCCAATCAGATTGCACGGATAGCCAGTGATTTCAAAGTGGATGTAATAAATTAGGAAAACACTAATTTACATTCTCTTCACAAGACCTCGGCCACTTTGATCTGTCTTTCATCTTCGTAGACTGTCTAGGAAAATAGTTTTTACGATCTTTCACGCGTGCACTGAGACCATTGGCGCACAATTATGTGCTTGTAAATGTAAAGAGGTTCTGTCACTGTTGACAAGTTCATTTTGTTAATACTGACATGAACGCTTCCTTATTCATTATGAACTTAACGTTAGCGAAGAAATTTTAGTTCAGTTCAGTTTGCTTATTTTGCGACATTAAATATAAAAAATTTAAATAATTACTTGAATGGTAAGCTGGCAAGGGAATGTCAGAAGAATCAAAACCAAGAGGCTTATCAAAACTGGTTTCCAAGTCCGGAAAATAAACATATATATCGAAGTGAAAATTAGTTAGCAATAAGCCTATATTAAAAAGAACGAAAAAAATGAGAAAATAAATGTTATGATAAAATATTGCTGGTTTGCAGGTGACGTCACGGCGTCCTTGTTGATGGTCGAGAACAAAATCATTTCTCTTCTCTTGCAACTAAACTCTATTTTCATGCAAATTCTTCGAAAAAAATTCTATTGTATTGAATCCCAACATGACCAATGGGTAACGTGGTTGCAAACTAAGAATATTTTCACAGATAAGTTTGGAACGAGTCAATTAAACTGGGCATTTTGCGGATTTCAGAATTCAACTAATTATTAAAAAAGGAACGATGCGACAAAATTGTGAAGTAGATACAGTAGCAACTTAAGGTATGGATAGATCTTTTCAGTTGATATTTTTGTACCCCACTTGACTGCCTTAAGCCGAAAAAGGACACGCTAGCTATAGTGCAATTACTTCAATGGAGTTTTCTTAAAATGCAAATTTGTGAAACCTAGTCTGTTTTGTCAGGTAATTTGATTTGGTTTGCGGCCCTTAAGTGCAGCTTCATATTGGCCTGCGCGTAACTTTAATATTGGCCATATAGGCGAAATAACTATAAATTAATGTCAGATAGAAAACTAATTCACCAATGGTGAAATCACAAAGTCAAATGACCATCACCTGTCATCTCGGCGTTGTTAATAGAGGGTATTTCATAATAATGAAAAGCTCTTTATACTTCGTGCTCCAAGCCAGACAGTTCAATAACATTAATAAAAGAAACTTCAAACCTGGCAAGATAAAAATTTGGCCGTAAACAATAGTTGGCATCAACTAATATGAGACTTTACAGTCATTTCGTGGCTTTCACTAAGGTAAGTACCTCCTTTTATTATTTCGCAACAATGATCTCGTGTATAACCAGTCAGTTGAAATCTCCCTATTTTGATTTTATCCTTTCTAGATTAGCTTTGTGATCCTGGTTCTTAAGCTGAACTTTACGGTTAACGATGGCGGTAAGTTCAGTTATCAGAGACCTTTAGCATCAGGTAAACCGCAAACCGCAAGCCGCAAACCGCAGTTCCGCGTTTGCAGTTTCGCGTTTCCGAGATTTCAAACTTTAGCAAGGCCTTCAGTTCAGTTCAGTTCAGTTCATTTTTATTTAGCCAAAATATAATACAATACAAGAATACATATTGGAATTGTAATGTTGTAAGGGAGCCCAGAAGAAACCAGAAGGCTTTATGAAGCCTCGGCTCACCAGTCTCAAAGAAATAAGCAAATAAAATGAAATTCGCGAAGTGATACGTTAATAAAAAATTGTAACTAAAGAGAGACTGAGTTAAGTTATGAATTCAGTGACAAAATGGAAAAAAAAATTAACCCTGGATGGGAACAGAATACTTTCCTTTGTTAGTACGGCAGAAAGGAATATAAAATTGATTTGAACTACGCGTTCATTGTTTAGGGCCGCCATGTTGTTTTCATCAAGTCGAAGTGCATCACTTTAATCGCCCAAAAATCAGCAATAATTCATTGATTCGAGATCAAAAATCAAACAAACTCATCGCAAACGGGTATAAAAAGCTAGTTCATACCTTTAAACGCGAGGCTGTACAATTTTTTGTGGCAAAAAACCTTGCCGTAAATCACTTACCGCTGGAAGCCCTTCCTGCGGTTCAAACGTGAACTGCAAACTGCAAACGTGACCGCAAGGCCGTGGTCACGTGACATTTTGCGGTTTGCGGTTTGCAGTTTCCCATGAAAAACGTGATGCTAAAGGTCTCTAATATCGCAATCGACGATTTGTTTCTGGATTGATTTAGTACGCGTGCAATTAGCGACGACCGCAAATACGTCTGCGGTCACAGGTTATACGCGTGTATAAATACACGAAAATTCAAGGGTCTTGATTTGAGAGAAATTGCATCATTGCCAGAGATCAAAAACGTGATAAACATGGCGCGTCATTTCAATCATCCTCGAAAATAAACCGCATGCTCATCACAAGACTCATTTGCATACAATGAAAGTTTACAACCCTCACCATCGAAGTTTTGCTAATTAAGATTCGTGGACCGACCCTTCCCGGAAAAGGTCTAAGTCGCATTGATCTTTCCTATTAAAGCTTTCTTCGCAAAACATATGTGGCTTCGGTACGCAACGATTCTTATTCCCAGTTTCCACGGTCTCCGCTAGGAACGACTGGAACCATGACTTCCCTTTTGTCTACTAGATACGAAGGAAGTAAAAACGGCTTGTAGATTAAGAGTCTCGCTGCTACGCAAGCGAGACTAATAAATTTGCATTAATGCTGGCCACGTGAGTGAAAACGCTCTATTTTAGTGAGCCTGTTCCAGGTGTTCACATAGTGGGATGACGCAACGAAAACAGAGCAGGAAAACACAACGAGGGGGTGGGGTTAGTGAGAGAGGTCTTCCAATATGTTTTCCTCCGCTCTCCATTTCATGACACTCTCCACTATCTGAACGCCTCCTGAAACAGGCTAATTTGAGTGGTGCTAAAGAATCTTTCAAGCACCATTTTCGATACTCATTACGTAAATGCCGCGACTAGCTTTAAGGGGCGATGTCACAAAGATATTGGAGTGTAAGGTCAATTTGGAGCTGACGTCATTACTTAGTGCCTTTTACCATTCACAAAATGCTCCTGTAAAGTTATGAAGAAGATATCAGGGAGTGCTAACCAGAATTTAGTAAAATCCAGCAAGTGGCCTATTGCTGTACTCCTATTGGTTGAGCAACTACTAGGCTATATGTTATAGCCCACTAGTAGCGAAAAGCGCCGGCTTCTTGGCGACAAAAAAGGATTAAATTCTACCTTTAACTACCTAAAGTTGTTTTGTCTCGGTATTTTTTTGCCAACTAGTTGGATTTTACTAAAACAATTATTCCTCTCGCCCTCATGGTCTCTGAGTCAATAGCCCATTCGGCCCTCGGCCTCATGGGATATTGACTCAGAGCCCATTTCGGCTCGAGGAATAATTGTTAACAACTACTTTGGTGTTTTTTACAGGCATAGCATTAAAACCTGAAAAAGTTGGCTCAAATTCATCCTTGCCATCCACAGCAACAGAAGATATAAAACAGTTTCATTGTCTAAATACAGTCTTAAATAACAAAACTTGACCATCGATTATTTATGGCAGTTAATTGATGCAAAGAAACGTTTAACGTTTAAACAAGATAAAAAAAAATAGTGTGACTTAAGATAAAGTTTTCGCGAACATGTTGCAAGTTTTTCTAACCCCATGTATTGTCACTGCAATGTCATTTAGCGGTAACAGTGGTCAGTCGGGGGGAACCTGAAGCACAGCTGATCTGCCAAGGAGATACAGTTAAACTTATGTGTGCAAACTCGTTCCAAGCAATTGCCGTCTACACTGCTTTATACGGACGCGAAAAAGAAGCAGGACCATGCCCTTTTCGCCAACAATTAGTAAGCAACGATACCAACGACAAGTCGTTATGTCCCATGAAGAATGTTACACTGGAAATTATGGGAATCTGTCACAAGAAGAAGCACTGTAGGATGACGTTGAATCAGACCCTTTTAGGAACGCACTGTCAGGGGATTTACAAGTATCTTACTGTTATTTTCAAGTGTGGTGAGTATCTTGTTTGAGGTTTCCGGTACACTGGACAGCTTTTCGTGCCGACAAGAAAAGTTGTCGGGTACAATATGCACTGCAACGGCACAGACTAAGAAAAGAACGGTTTTCCTCACTATTATTTTTTTGAATAAATCTCTCACATTACTATGAGGTTGGTCCTACACAACTGTACCTTTGACGTCTCTTTTAAGAAAATTCTAAGATGGCTCATAGACATATCCCTTATTAACGTCCAGAAACTCACTAACGAAAGGCCAAAAACATTTAGAATTTAGACACTTCGTAAAACGGTCGGTAACATTGACATCACTAGAAACTAACATTATCGTGGTAACGGTCTACATAGATTAACAGATTAATACGAAAAACAGTTAGTACAGGTAATAGCATGATTTGTAGTGATATTTGGCATTAATACCACGAGTGATATTTCAGAATTGTTGTACGTTATTTCACGAGCCGTTAGGCCAGTGAAATTTGAGACAATTTTGAAATATCACGAGTGGTATTTATGCCAAATATCACGTAAAAATCATGCTATTGTTTGTTAATACTACTATTCAATAAATACTACTATTCAATTTAAAATTGAGCTGAAAGACCACTGCTCTAAGCCACACAAATTGCAGAAATTTCTCATGTAGTAGTATAACGTTCCTCACGTCTGAGTGCCGAGATGGTATAAAGGCTTTAAAATATTATGAATAAAGATGTCGCAAAAAATACAAATACAATTTAACAACGCAAATGCAAATTCGTCTACAGTTTTACAAGTCAACGAGACTGGTATCCAAATACAACCCACAACAGAACCCATCACTGTTAAAACACGTGTTTTATCAACGACTAACATGGGAACACTGAGAAAAGGAGGAGAACGGCCAACAAGTGGCGACAAACTACATTCCACGGGCGTCTTCGTGGCGACGGCAGCTGTAATAAAGCAGCAAAGATCAGTGGTTGAGATGGGTGTGGCAGGATCACTATACCTTTGGTTTTTTTTCATTAAAGGTAATGTTTTTCTAGCTAAGGATGTGTGCCTCTCTTTTTGAAAATATTTTATTTCTTCGATCGTTACAGTTTTGTTATTGAAGTTGTTGGAAAGAGCGTGCCGTTAAAGAAATTTTCATATTTATAGTAGAAATCTTGTCTTGGCAAGGTAATTTATATAATCAATACATATAACAGAGATGAACAGGGGATGTCTCGTACTCGAAGTTAACGTTTTAACTACCAGTAAAAGCATTCATTTGATTTGAACGGTTTCATTTCCTGTAGAGAAAAAATCCACATCTGTGACAGTGTTTATTCTGAGCGCTCTCGGGGCAGCCCTTACCATGGTCGGAGTTGTGGTCTGCTTTGTAACTCTCCAGAAAAAGAAAGAGTTACTAAAGCTTGACATCATACACAAACCGAAACGATTCATAGCCCTGTCACAAGAAGCTAAAAGAGACGACAGGGAACAAGGTGAAAAGGCTTTCACCGATCACGATGGAACTTTGCTTCACAAAGTTGGTCCTGAGGTTGTATTTTCGGCTCAAGACGTTAGCGATCAAGTGAAAAAGGAGTTTCACATTGAATTCGGCAGGTGAGCTAAGGCGTCGAGCGAGGTTTTTAAAGAACGCCTTTTACAGTTTTAACACTGTTGGTTTAGAGGAATACCTGTTTGCAAACATTTGTTTGAGTTATGTTAGTCTCGAGTAATTTTACAAAAGCAACGCCACGTTTGCAGTCCATATAACTGAAAGAACACTGATAATTATTGACCGTATTAATTCAACCTAGTTTTGAGGTAAATTTGCTCTTTAAAGTTCCTTTATCTCTTCCATTTCAAGATTCTTTCGGTTGTGATAAGTGAAAAGCGTACGGAATGTAATATACACGAATACATCCTTGATTGTGAGCTTCTCAAACTCATTAATAATTCATAAAGAAAATTCAAAGGAAATTAATGCTTAATGAGTGTTTGGATATCGGATGAAAAACTGCTCATTTTTGCATCCTTAATTTCTCCTTCAAAAATGATTTCGTTTGAGAAGAAATATCAAACATTCGACACAGTGTTTCATCACCACATGAAACACCTCGAAGTTCTTCAAAAATACTCCGCTACGCGTCGTATTTTCAACTCTCTTCTTGGTGTTTCATCTGGTGATGAAACACTGCGTCTCATGTTTGATATATTACTTCAAATGCTTATCGTTTGTGTCTTTCCAGAAATGTTCATTTATTACGTTAAGCCTTCTTTACTGGTGAAATTGGAAAGAAACGCAAGGTCGTATTCTTCTAAATCCGCAGTAAATGCAACCATCCAAGTTTAAAAATGTCTAAAAAGCGCTGTAAGAGGCCTTGTTTTGCACCATTAAGTTTTCATGGCATTGACTACAAAAAGTATTTTGTAGGTTTAAGATTCCTCATTCATCTCCTAAGGATTACAGTGGGCTAGATCGATATTGATTAGACAACTAGGAAGTTCTTCTAAAAGAAGTGATCTAGTGAAATTTGTAATTTCAACAGAAACTTTGGTATGGAAAATGGAGCAGGTAATAGAAATATCGAGGGAAGTATTCGTGAGAAGCCGATGGATATAATCAACGAAAATCAGACGAGTCTCAGGTATTTCATCGAAGCCCGTTCGGCCATGGTGCGAACGTTGGGGAATCCTTGTCACTGTAAACCTAAAAGAAAGAAGGCTTACAGCACAGGTAACATATCTCGTAATCATCAAAGACATCACCGCCCGGAAATGATGAACTATTCCACAGAGAAGATGCGACCTCCTCGACACCTCAGTGCTGAAAATGTGTCTCATCAAAATCATCGTGCAGGGTCACACACTCCGTGCAGTCTAAGAATCTCTGACGACAGTGGTCTGCAACTACCAATCAACGATATTTTGTTTGCTTCTCTTACCTCAAAGGTAGATAAGTAATCAAATCAAACACTCCACAAAGTTTTTAAAGGGGAGGCTCTTCCCGGGGTACGGCTTCTTAATCTTTTAGACACCAGTTTTGACAGAAAAGGCATCCCTTTGGTATACATTCTATTGAAAAATGTCAGGGGCACCCAACGAGAATACAGTTCAAAACCACTGAAACAGAATTGTTAAACGTATTTTAGTATTTAAATGGTAGATATAGGCATATTTTTATCCCCTAAAAATTTTTCATCTGTACGGATTTCCTAGCTGAAAGTCTAGTGATCCGAAAATAATAGGGTTCAAAACTTACCTTCTCGAAAATTTTAGTGAGAAAAAAGGCTCCCGAAAATTGTAGGCGTCCTTTTTACGGTAAAAATCCGTTAAAATGGGCGATTATACCGTTTTTTAGATATTGGAAAATCCTAGCAGAGGCAGGAAAACAAGAAATCTTACAACAAATATTCCAAAAATTCTAGATCCCAAATCGTCTTCCGAGGAGATTTTTTCCGAAAATTGACGTTGGGTCGTGTCTCTGAAATGTTACCTTTCATATACTTAGTTTAGAACTTTGCATCCCTTTTCAACTGCTGTAAATGTAGTGTCTTTAAAATATGAATAAATCACAAAACCATGACTTTTTCTCAGCCATAAAATTCATCTGTTGGCATTTTTCAGCCTTTTTAGCGACCGAAATGACAGATTTCCCTACCCTTTCATAGCGGAGCTCCACCCGCGCCCGAAACCCCATAGCTAAGGAAATGTGGTAATCTACCCATCCCAGAAAATTTGGTAATCACGTGACCGTACACCGAGCGAGCGATCGAGCGAGCGACCGTCCGTCCGCACCACAGGCATACCAATGTAAAATAACTCAATCAACAGGTATGGGAACCCAAATGCAACTCAAGGTTTTATTTGAAAGGAAATCACATGGCCGCCCGGACTTTTAGAAAGAAAAATGAAAATGAGCGGTAGTGAAAAATAGAAGCGAACATGAACACTGGAAACAAAATATTGGGTAAGCACATACGACAATTTCTCCATAAAAATTCTCGGCTTGCACTGTCACGCAATGAAAAATAAAAATGCAAACCATTCAATACAGAAGGACTAGAATCTGGGAAATGAAAAAAGATAAATATACAAAAACTCTTGCCAAGAATCAGGTCTGTGAAACATTTCAAATGCGAGATATTGGGAAAAACGGTTTACCAAAATTTATAAAGCTTTGTATGGAAACGCCATGTTGGTGTCCCTTTCAGGAACACCAATATGACCGCCGGATACCAACAGAAACATCTGTTTTCGAAATTTTCCTACTAACGCGTCCTTCGCTTGAGGAACTCAAAAATATTTTTTCGAGACAAGAAATGTTTTTGCAAAATCTCCCAAAATCGGTAATGTTTTTAACCCAAAATTTGTTTAAATGCCGCGTCAAAATTCAAGGTGTTTAAAACGAAGAACCCTTTCGAACCAAAAATTTGTTTATGTAAAGGTGTTTAGGTACTGTAATAGCCCGTGAAAGTAGAAACTCAGAAGAATCGATAGTTTCTGAGTTTGATTTTTGGTGACGTCACGTGCAACCCAAGAATAGTGTGTAACTAGGAAGCTTGACGTTTTAGGGCCTGTTTACATGGAGTTGGGGACCCCGGTCTAGTGGGGTTGGTTTCTTTTGTTTTCACGCTCCGCGGGACACAAAACAAAAGAAACCTACCCCACTAGACCGGGGGTCCCCCACTCCATGTAAACAGGGTCTTAGTCGTACAAAACAGTGTTGTAGTCGTGCAAAACAACAGCAAGGGAAAGACAAAAAAGCGTGCTGCACGGGCAAATCTGTCTTTTTGCTAATTAGAAGAAAAAGTGTGCTGCACGTGCAATTTGTTTTTTTGCTAATTAGATCTATTAGTCTTGAAGCCTTTTTCATTGTCGTCCCCGGTTTAGCGTTACACGATTAATTTTTTTTGTTCACACGTATTATTGACCAGAGCTTCGCTTTTAGCCCTGGCTAAATCTATATATTATACTTCAGCAAGGAAAATCGCAAAGGTACCCCGTATAGACCAGCATAGGGAGTACCCACGGGGTTTCTTTCGATATCCAGATCGTGATTTGTTTGAAGCGAGCAGATCAATCGTTTGCGTCAGCCTTCGACTTCGCGAATGATTGATCTGCGAGACAGTGACAAATCACGACGTTTGGCGATAACCGAGTTCAATAATTGTTTTATCATTCGATCACGGAGTTTTTTTTTCATGAATCTCCTCTGGAAGAGAAGCGACCTGCCATTTTTACGCAAGAGCGATCACAAAAAGGAGAAAAGCGTGAATTCTTTTACGCATGGGCAGAATATTATTTGCAGCCAAACACTAAGGGCCTGTTTACATGGAGTGGGGGACCCCGGTCTAGTAAGGTTGGTTTCTTTTGTTTTCACGCTCTGGGGGACACAAAACAAAAGAAACTTACCCCACTAGACCGGGGTCCCCCACTCCATGTAAACAGGGTCTAAGCCAAACACAGTTGGACGACATTGCGCATGAGGAGACCATTATTTGTAAGCAGTTATTTGCAGGTTAAGTTGTGGACTCTCGGCCAATGAAAAGAAAGAAAACGTTTTGCTTTGAATGATGATCAGGGTTGTTTTAGACTGACTTAGACTGAGTCCAATGATAAGGATGTCTCTCGATATTCTTTCTAAATCGATGAAGTTTAAATAGTCTAGAATAATGTGATTTAGTTATTTACTTAAACAAGTAATGTTAGGCGTGGTTCGCATTTCGTTCGAGATCAATGACGTTTTCTTATGAACAATAACATCTAACGAGAATTCTTGGAGGAGACCACCGAGTGAGTGAATCGTCGATCCCACGACGCGACGGCAACGGGTACGTCAAACACAACAACAGGTTTAGGGCCTGTTTACATGGGGGTGGAGGACCCCATATAGGGTGAGGTGACATGTGGCGGGTCACCCCACCGTCATGTAAACGTGATGAAATTAAAAGGAGAGATTATATGGACAGGCGGGTTACCCCACCCAATCGAGTTACCTCACCTACCTCGGATCCCCCACCTCCATGTCAACAGGCCCTTAGCAGGCAATACAACAACTTTGCACGTGCATCTCACTTTTTTGTACATTTCTTTGCCGTTTTTGCTCGACCACGACGCGGAATTGCCTAAGTTTACTTTTTATTGAGGACGTAAACAAAAGACGGCGAAATTTTATTCTCTTCTGAACTTGAATTTATTTTTTTTAGAAACTCAACTCCGGGACGGTTGCCCCACATTTGACAAAGCAAGTGAGTTAGAATAATCGCGATAAAGACCGAAAGAACGCAAATTCATTTTTGAAGCGACGTTTTCGCTGCCGTTTCGTTGTCGGATCGTCAAGTCCCTAGTGAGTCTGAAGAACCTGCCGTATCCATCTTTCTGAAATCGAATTTCCTTCCCCTACTTAGCCTATTTTGCAGCGATTGTATCCATCTATTGTATGATACCAAAAGACAAACAGCACCAGCTAGTATACTTAATCAATTTACGAAAACAAGTCGGATGCATAACGACAGAACAAGATCTTTTCTAACAAATCTTTTTATTGTGAAAGGTTTGAACCCAGGAGTCACTTCAAAAGGTTGAGTTTGATCGTCCGGGTGAACGTAGTCCTGAATGGGACTGTTATTGTTGACAGTCACTGTCAACAACAACAGTCCTATACAGGACTACGTTCACGCGGACGATCAAATTCAACCTTTTGAAATCTTTTTATGTTAAGTTCTTTAGGACCATTAAAATGTCTGCCTTTTTTTACGAGAATCGGTTCTCAAATTTGGAACTCAATTTCTTATTCAATTAAAACGCTTAAGCTATCGTCTTTTCGTAAAAAAGTAAAGGAATTATTAGTAAATTTATTGAAGTCCATAGCGTTATAAAGTTGTTGAACACATTATCATAGTCTCTTTTCGTAATCGTTATTTACTTACTTTGTTTCATGTTAGTTTATTCCATTTATTGCATTGTAGTATCTTTATTGTTGTTTGGTCCTTCGAATAGATAGCCCGCGGGCAAGCTCTCCGGAGCGCTCTGGGATTAAGAGAAGGAGAGGTGTACGTCTCTGGAACTTGAATTCCGCCTACAATTGCCCTATGGCTCCACGTCGACTGAGCTGTCAGATTTCCGCCAATCAGCGGAAAGCGGAAAGAGGGCGAATGTAGACAAACATTGAAAAACACCTGAAAGCATGCGCCAAGGGTAATTACGTCATTACTAATATAATCTTCGCCAATCAGCATTTCGCATCAACGTTTTCGATACAGCGATTCAAATTCCAGAGATGTAGTTGCAAGCTCTCCTTTCTTTTCCTGCTCCGCCGCCAGAGCGCCCAGGAGAGCTTGCTCGCAGGCTATCTAATAGATGACCCTTGTATCGTAAATATGTCCTGCCTGTCAGATCATAGGCTTTAAATTAATCAATTTCGGGAGCAGTGCTAGATTCTTTCTAAAAAAATACCTACACGAGCCAAACCATCGTTGAAAATTGGCCTGTTCTCCATTACCTCTTTAGAGATCGTCGTGGGCAAGAATGAAGACAAAAAACCTCGTGGGATTTATTAACAGCTAGCGGGTTTTTGCGCTTCGCTCTAGCTCCCGAAATTGAGTGCAAGCAATCCTTTCGCTGTTCTCCTTGCATACTGAGACTTTTACCCCGGATGAAAATAAAGACCTTAAGACAAGTAGCTATATATGGTGTTCCAGATTGAGTTCTGTGTCCAAACCTGTCACACATTTTGTTAAGAATTGTGTGATTTAACGGCTTTAATTCTATGATCCTGTTTAAAAACTAGCCTAGAACATAAAATTGCCCAAATTACTCTAGTTTATCAGTTGCTGTTTTCTCAGATTTTGCTTGTAAAGAGCTGAAAATTGACTAAATTACTTTAGTTTGCAAGAATAGTCTTTCAACTTCTTAAACTCCATTTCACGCCAACGACTTCTATGATTGTATCCCTCTATTCG